TTAAATATTTGTGAAAAATAATAAAAGAAACCTGAATTTTCAAAATGGAAAAATGGCTAGGATTAACCAAACAGAAAAGTGATGATTCACAGATGATGGATCCAGGATAATCTACTAGCACTAAGAATACTGCAAAGAGAAACACGCCAACGTGGAAAATAAAACAGGCAAATCGATAACCTTGTATTCGGCGAAGATTTTGGAAAATCCGAATAGATTTCGAGGGGAAAAAGGGTAGTATTTTCACCCTTGAAATCGTTTGGGATTTTACAAAATCTTCGCCGAATGCAAGGTTGTCGATTTGCTGTTTTAAAAGAAAAATTGTTTATAGAAAATGTACTGAAAGTTGTTTATCATTTGGGTTTACCTGGAATGGACATGAAATGGACCTTGAATCTCAATAGGTTGTTTGCGGTGAACTATTATCCAATCAATGTATGAAACCATCGTTTCTTAAAAGACATCTTGAATCAAAGCACGTCTAATTAAAGGATAAATCTGAAGAATATTTTAAGAGGAATTTATCGGAGTTCAAAAATAGTAAACAAGCAATGAAAAGTTTTGTTACTTCAAGTGAAAAAGCTCTGGAAGCTAGTTAACTACTAAGTCTAAGAATTGCCAAGACTGGGCAGATTCACACTATTCGAGAAAACCTTATATCACCGGCAGCTAAAAGATATCATTTTCACATTATTCAACGAAAAAGGTGGCTAATTAATAAATTAAATGAATATTCCGTTATCAAATGACACAGCAAGTCGACGAATTCATGAATGGCAAATTCCATAAAAGAGACACTTATTCAAAAAATAAAACACAGTGAGTATTTCGCATTGCAATTAGATAAAAGTAAATGAATAATGAACTTTTTTCAATTATTTAGTATACATACGTTTCGAAGTAGATAAACGAAGTACCGAAGAATATTTATTTGTGAATCTCTCCAGAATAGAGCAATGCAAATGAAATTTTCAAAGTAATTCAAAGTTTTATATTTGAGAGTAATATTCCTTGTAACAAGTGCATTGCCGTCTGCAGTGACGGAGCTTGGGGCTTTAACAGGAAAAAAAACATTCCGGTGTTATTTCTCCAAATAAAGAAAGTCGGACCGGCAACTAAAATCACTCAAAATTGCATTCATCACGAAGCTTAGTAGCCAAAATAGTCCCAGAAACGTGAAAATCATTTTGAATCAAGCTGTGAAAATTGTTACTTTTATTAAAAGCCAAACATTATGTTCAAGATTAGTTACGATTTTATGCCAAGAAATTAACAAGAGATGCTTTTGTTACGTTTCCAAGTAAGGTGGTTATCCAGAGGCAAAGTTTTGCAATGCTTCTGCTAAAGTATCTAAAGAAAAACACCGACACAGGAACAGACAGGCGAGACCGAAAAACTAACAAGACTGAAATACTCCTATGGGCTAGATCGTTTCAACGTTTTGAGTGATCGTACTTGAGTGGAAAAATGATTTTTGAGTTGTGTTTACATACATCCGGGACCGTGCTGTGAGAGGATCGGATAACAAGGTGTAGTACGAAATAAAATATAATAAGATTTCCAGATTAAATGTAAGTTTATTCAGACTCCTCATATTTATCTTTAGATTCACATTATGGTTAACATTACTTGCCAATTACTTATTTCCTTTTTTTTACATTTGACGTGATCAAGTACTTTAATTTTTACATTTTATCTAGATTATTAGGTACCATATGACAATAATGACTTAAGATACGTTTAACTAGACCTCCTACAGTAATTTAAGAAAAGGTCAAATTACATAACCTTCTTAATGGACTGCACCTAAAATTCTTTCATCTAGGTAAACCATTTTCATTGATATAATATTGTAATTAACTTAATAAGATTTTACATTATCAATTTGTAGAGTACTTCACTTCGGAATTCTAAGTTAATGTTGGAAGTGAAGCATCTAAGAACTGATAAGCGAATAATCGCTTGAGTTCGGTGACGAGAAACAACAAGATAGATGGGTAACTAACCCTTTATTATTTCAATAAGATTTAACAAAACTCCGCCTGGGAGTGTAAAAGCAAAGCCCGCACTTGGACTTGAACTTAAAAGACTAAGAATTAAACTAAAACTAAGATTAACTAAAGAAGTATAGCCGAAGCTATCATGGTTCAAATCGAGTTGGCCTCTTAACTTATTTGACTACGAAGCTTAGCAAGGGTCTGAGTACGGCCGAGCGTAATAACAGCTTTCAGAGAGAGAGAGTGGCCAAAAAGGCAAGACGCGCGTAAATCAGAAACTCTGATTCTCTCTCCCTCTGTAAGTAACTTCGTGGTTTAAATGCCGCTCCTCCTCATTAAATATTCAGCAAGATTCCAAAACTACATTCTGTCCGGAAGTAGTAAGTTAAGAATTTGACAGGAAAGGAACTTTAACTTAAAATTTAACTGTTAATAAAATTAACATAATCCTTACAAATTAAGAGGAGTTTCAGACAAAACATTAGACTTTGTAAGGATAACAGAGAAGAACGAATTTTTCATAACTTAATTTAATGTTCGGTTTACACGGAAAGGAGCAAATAAAAATGTGTAACAGAAAAGACTTATCTGTTGATCCACGGTGAAGCACAAATTTTCACTGCGGGCACCTGAAACTGGTCTGTAGTACAGACACCTGGAAGAAAACCACGAGAAGGAAAAATTCGCAGAATACTGTCACAGATCTCGTGAATTAAGGTAATATTTCGAGTCCCATTTCGCACGAAGATTCGAAGTAGCGACGAAGCCTACTTAGCTCATTAACAAAGGTATACCCCTGCAACAAAGACTTGTTTCCTGGATCAATTGACGGAGTTCCATTCACAGCACTTGGACATTTCCAATAGTCATTCCAATAACTCAGCTCCAATGATTCCAACTCAGTATTATTGGATATTTCCAATAATATTGAGTTGAAACGAATAATCTTACATTCGTTGAAGAGTATACAGGTCATATCAGGAAGCGAAATTATTGACCACCTTAACGTGAGGAACTTGGCCGTATAAAGCTATGAATTTACAAAAAGCTGCAGCAAATTTCCTTATTTTTAAGACACTTGAGAAAATCATTTGTAATCCGGATCCTAACATTTTCTAAAAGCAGTTCTCTAGTGTTTAAGGTGAAAGCTGACGAGAACATATTAGCAGCTCCCTGCCTTTGCAGTTCACGGCAAGGAAAAGGGCAAATTCAACCAGAACGATCCGGACAAAAGATCTGCCGTCCATAATTTACGGAAATAAAATTACTTTTTCTCGGGCCACGCAAGAGAACCATCATCTCAGCAGACTATCAAGACCCAAAGTGCCTGTTCTCGAAAACCTCCTTCACTTCTTTCAGCCAACACGTCTATCAAAATGGTTTCATTTATCGCCCCCCTTTGGCACTAAATTTACGTTTCTTACCGTGAAGGACTGAAATAGGTTCATCACACATGCTCACTCTTCTCTCACTTAGCCAAAAAACCAGACACCCAGATCGCCAACCAAGATGACTTACATCAAAGTTGAAATGGCAATTTATGACCTTTCGTCACGTAGAGGTCATTTGCACAAAAGAAATTTCTTCTCGAACTTTCCATGCAACAAAACAAAACTGCGACAGAATGATTTAGCAAAATTCGTCTCTTTTCTGGAATCCTTTTCACAATGAACAGAAATCTTGGATAAATTTAAATAAGGGAAAATAAATAACATTCATAAAAGCATCTGTTTTTATCCTGAAATTAAAGCCTTTTCACAACCGAATAATGACTTAATAAAACACTAAATTAATAATTCAGAATTAAATAAAATTAAGAAAAATAATTGACTTGATTTCGTTCATAACACATAATGATTCATTGTACTTATCAGCACAACTTTAAATCATCGTTTTGAACTTCGATCAGAAATTCAAATGTTTCCCTGTGGTTCAAAATTTGAATTAAAAAATGGTTCAAAAATCTGTGGTTCAAAAATGTTCACTTCGTGAGCTGTGGTTTGCGTGTTTAGCTCATACAACTGACGAGAACATATTAATGAATAAATTTGGGTCTACAAGGGCAAAGTGCTAATTTGTTTAGCATTAGAGATAAAACAAATGCAAGGATAAACAAACTATTTCTTTTATACAGGGTGAACAGATTACTCCTTCTCTCCAAATATCGCCTACTTGGTGGCGGAAATAAATTCAGCAGGATATAGAATAGTTCAGTCGCTTAGACATCCCGGGAGCAGATAAAACACAGCACAAAATCATTACCCAATTTTAGTCTTCACGATGCGCGTTGCGCATGCTCGCTACTGCCAACCCGTCAAAGATACTTCCATAATTTAGGAGACTTTTTAAAATAATAAAGGATAAAAATGTTTTTATAAGAAATTAGCAATAATATTTGCATGATTAATAGAACAATACGTTATTCTGAGATTATGCAGAAATCTATTAGAAACGTTTAAAAATATGAAACCGTAAATTAAAACTTCCGACGTACAACACAAATATAAACTGAGTTCAAGCGATAATAATGAGAAATTTCAATCTGCACTTTAAACACTTGAAATTCATTGCGAACTAATTGTATTTTATACATTCAAGTAAAATGCAGGGAACTCTCTCATAGTGATCGTTTTTCATACACGACCCCATCTGAAAGTAACAAGCATTTCATAAAAAATTACCATTTCTATTAGTCACTTCACTAAATTGACCCCTCCTCACAACAAAATAATCTAAAACCACGAATGGCCGTTTTAGAGAGGTTTCGCTTTACTCAAAATTATACTGCAGTCGAAAAAATATGTTTCATTCTGATATGAATTCTAAGTGTGTTTACGCAATGAAATGCATATTTTTATATGCATTCAAAATTTTGTGATTTTAATTGCCATATGAATTAAAATAACGTTTTGAAGACAGCATTACATTTTGAAATTTTTTTTTAATCCACTGCACTTCATTTCAATTTCCTAATTATAGTTCATGATGCTGCATATTTTCTAGGCTATATTCTCCTATAAAAGGAAGGTTTGAAGGCAGACATTCATACCGATTAAATTCGTGCATTTAAGAAATGGAATTCTTGAGACGCAGTCTAGTTTTCCTCGCAGTACTGGCGATGGCTACTTTAAGTATCATTCAGGCTGCTCCTGAACCTTGCATAGCTGGTCGTAAGTGATAAAAGAAGAACGATGAAAATTAATTTTGGTAAGTCTTAGGTAAATATGAAAAATTTTATATGAACCTTTAGGTAATCTTATTTATTTAAACAGTATAAGCTGCCATGCGTTATTTGATAAAAAGCAAAGCGTAAAACAGAGACTTGAGCGAGACCTTTAAAAATAATTAAAATCTTTGAAAACTTACAGGAGCTGTCCACAAATACAGCTGCAATGATTTTGGTCTGAAATTAATTCGATAAAACCATAAGAAATATTAAACAGGTGAATAACTTCCATATTTCATTCGAAGAAAAACAGAGGAACGTTCAGCATTAAAGCGGCATTTTAAAACATATTTCTTAATTTTATTGAGTTTTATATGTAGGTTTTAAGGATCCATTTTTTATTCCATCTGCTTTGTACTTGATATCTTATTTTTGCATCAAAGAGCACTGCTTAAAGAAGAGGATTAAACAAGGTCATGGAATAGAAATTTATGTGATTTTAGCAAGAGTTTTCTTACGGAATATTATCTCTAGTGTTTCTTACGTTGTTTGTCAGTGAATTGAGAATGCCAAAGACTTAAATATTTTGCACAGTTTTTCTGCCACATTTTCCTATATTGTAAGACGAGCTGTAACAGCAATATTTTAGATGGAGAGTTTCAATGAATTAAGATTAGAATTCAGTTTATTAGCGGTTTTCAGTTTTTGAGTATTGAAGCAAAGAGTAATAAATTCATTAACTGTACATAATATATTTTATTAACTTATATTTTGTTTATAAATATTTCAAAATTTTCTTTCTTTTGATATGTTACTTTTCATAACTTTGCCAGTAAAGCCTATTAGAGGCGCTGCGGCCAAATCGCAAATAACTGGTCTCTCAACCCGGTTTTCGGAACTCGGTGAACAGCCGGCTGAATGAGAGTTTGGTAGGGGTTGTTTCATGTATAATATATATGTCCTTTACATAGTCCTTCAAGAAGCACTCCTTTTTTTAGGCTTTATAGCCCTCGCGTGCTTTCCGATTATCCAAAAATTGCAATCAGTCACCATAAGTGGGATACTAGCTGAAGCCAAATAACACTAGCTGTTACGCCTTAAATCGGTCCAAATTACTTAGACTAGCTTGTTGCATGGGATTTTTGATTTCTCATTCATGCTCACCTTAAATATGAAATAATGTTTTCTGAAAATATTTAGTACAGTTCTCAGAAACGTTTCAGAAGAAATAAATTTTAGGCAATTTTTTTGAATTCGTCTAAAATAACGTGAAACAAATTTCTGTAACTGATATTCACGTCTTAAATTATACTTAGAATAAAAATATTTATTCTTCAATTAATTAAAGGGAAAGGAAAAAGAGCATATACTGTTGCAGAAAAGCTAAATTAAAAAAAATCATTCTTATAATTTAAGTAAAAAGTGAAGAGAATAAGCAAGTATTATTTCTTTTCTAATATCTGCTTCATATATTTTTTAATATCTGCTTAGCTAGAATAATTTATTACATACATTCTTTGTCTGCATCAGTATTGTCATTAAATATTCTTGTGATCGAAATTTAGACAAGTTTCTTGTTTCCAGTGGCGACTATTATTTATATAACTCATAATTCTATTTAAAATTACACTTCTAAGTTGTTGAATTTTCAGAGACATGTCACAATGAGCTTATACGTTCAGAACAAGCTATATAAAGAGAGCCTACGCTTGAAGTAGTGAGTGAGTGAGCGCCACCAAGGAAGACCACTTACCTGGCCTTAGCCTCACAGTGTGTTATCTTCTTAGCAGGAATCATCCACTCTCTGCTCCATCCTGCTCCGGGAACGCAGCCGAATGGACGGCTAAGAGCCTCATAAAGTCTACATGTAAGCTTGGATATTGTTGTTCGGGGAAAGAGTATTCTGTTAGGAACTACTTAAAATTAAATCAAAAGACTGTTAAGAATCGCTGTTAGAATAGACAGAAACTTGTGTTAGATAAAGAAAGGAGGACTCCGCCTGAAAACGTAACTGCAGTGGATGTTCTGGACTTGCTAAATGTCTATGCGGAGGCTAATTCTGACACAACTGTCGTGCTTTTATTGGGCTTTTGTAAAGTCGTTGGTCCTGCAGACGTAACCTATTAAATTATTGCACATAGTAAGCTAAAAAAAATTCTAGACCTGTCCATTAATTGCAAAAGTAAAAATTTTAAAGAATATAGGCAGGTCCTAATTATCTGAGTTAGTCTTGGGCTGAGAGGTTTCAGGTGTGTGCCCCGCATACTTAACAGATTGATTTAATGTGACTTGTTCATATTATGATTCAGAGCGCTAAGCGCTTGGTTATTTCTGTTTGGGGACACGTATCGTCGTATTAGAGAATACTTTATCTGACAATGGCTGATTACAGCTTGTAGCTTTTTATTTGCTATAGTAGTAGTAACTTCAGTAGTTTAAGTTCGCTCGTACTAGTTTCAGATATAAGTTGTCTGGAGCTTTTCAACAGTTTCCCAGTTTCTCCTAAGGAAAAGAATAAGTACTTAATGCTGTATTTAACGGGCTCCAGAAAATAAGTGCTGCCTAGCATTTAATGACTCCCAGTTTAGACCTTCGGAATATTATGTGTGTCTCTATATCTTCAATATTTTTAATTAATTTGGTTAAAGCACTGTGTTTAAAAATAAACTGACTTTCATTTCCTATGAATAACTTATTATAAGTATAAAATGTATATGTAAAAGGAAAATTTTATTTCGAGGTCTGTGAGAATGATTAATACAGATACGCAAGTTAAATATTGAACTACATCTGCAGATCTCTTCCATTATATTCTGAAATGAGCATTTTTCGACTCTTTTTCTTGTATATCACGACAAAAGTAATAAAGAAACAATAAAAATGGAAAATATTTCTTTCACTTTTTGTCTATTTTCGTTATATTAACAAAGATCTCAGTAACCATCACCACAACATGTAAGCAAAATTATTAAGGCATTTATTTCAAGAAAATATTCTCTTAACAATAATATATAGAAAATGAAATGCTAAGGATTAATTCTGTTTGCGTACATGGCAAACCATTATAACTGATAGGAAAAAGAGAACTTGTATCTCTCTTATTAGAAATGCACCGTCGTATCTCCAAATGCGATATGTGAATGAACATTCTGTACATATATATATCGAATTTTCTCAGGTTTATTTAGCAAAAGAAACGAATAACAGTGGCAATAATTTACAATAACTAGCAAATTAAAGTCTGGTAGAAGACGTAGATTTGCACATTTTTGCAGAGCATCCTAAAGTGTTCAGCGGGATTTAATTCAGGGTTTCTCAGTGTTAATTTCAACAGAATTCGTTGTAATGAATCTGATAGCCGATCGGGACCAAGGACGGTAGCAGTTGACACCCTAGTACACTTCTGTTTTCCGGGTACGAGAAAAATCGTAAGGAATAAATGATCTGCAACAGCTCAAAGTACGTAAACGCACTGGAAGTTTTGTGTAATAATAACATAGGACTCAAACACTGAAGAGAGGAAAAATGCCATGCAAACACTGAACCCCACACATCCAACATGGTAAGCTGGATCAATAGCTTAATGAGGATTCGTCTATATTCTTAGCCTAATATACAGTGATGCAAAATTGGTGCCATCACTCTGCTGTTCCGTCCAGTCGTGAATTGTTCCCTTATGGGGTACAATAGCACAAGCAAAATGCTCAAGGAGGTAGTATGCAGTAATTCGTGAATCTTCCGGCTTCTGAAGAAGGCGCTTCATAGTCCATCAACTACTTGTCCGATTGAACCGCTCAGTCAGTTGAGAGGTCACTTGAGCTAAGGCTTGGTTTCCTGGAGATAGTAATAAGCTATGATTTTTAAGTTATGTTATATTTGCCTTTTTCTTTTAATACTATGGTACACTGAGTATTCCCTCTTCGATCCAAGCCGTCTAAAGTGCGAGTTTTATTCTTTATGTTACTTGTAATAGTGATTCAATGAGTGTTACACAATGAGTGAACATATAAACTGCTTCAAGTGTCATTTTCCTCCTTTAATTTTTATTCTCTACTTTTGCATATTCCAATCAAGCTTGCCAACATCGCCACTCTTATTATCGCAATTTGAAACGGCACTAGGCTACGAATAATCACTCGTTTTTTCTCAGTTTTAGATCATCTTTGAGCATATTTACGTGATTCTGTTACCCTCAAAAGTACCCAATTGGCCAATTCTTCGAATCCACGCTATAAATGTCGAAGAGTCAGTCGAGTGATAAACTGGTACTGTAGGGACATCCAAAGAATCAAGTATATAGTTTGTTAATCTGGCTTCTAAAACAAAAGCAAGAAGTTCCAGACGCCGAATTGTCAAAGTACTTTTTGGAGCAAGTCACGATTTTGCTCCTAGAAGCTGTACCAAAATTTTATAATTGGCATCAAACCGCAGGAAAATTACTGTGTAGAATAATTAGGGATTTTTTGGAAGCAGGAGATGTGAAAAATGAGCAACGCCTTCGCCGAGAATCGAACCACGGACCTCTGGAATACGCGCCCAGCGTGCAGACACCGACACTACAAAGGCATACTAAAAAAGCGGGAGAAATGCCTTATAACTATTGCGTATGCATTCTGACTCACGTCGCAAAAAATATGTATGGATCTATTTTCTTTATTTCCGTAATCTATGCGTCTGTTTATCTTTAAGTTAGATAAATGTTTCAGTTCACTGTAACATTTCTGAAAGTCCTTTTGTGGAAATCTCTGGAAGCGGAGAATCCCTTTCTGACCTCCCCTCCTGAATCATTAACGTGGCTGGCAACAATGCTGGGACGAGAAACCGATGGGAGCTTAAATACCCTGTGTTATAGACTTGAGTTATAAATAGCTTCCATTTAGTAGGATTTTCTATTTCAGCGTATAATTTATTGCAAAATCATTAGACAATCCTCCTTTCTATACTATCTAGTCCCCAAAACTGAAACTTGAGTATTAAGATCTACTTTAAATAAACTTCTGTTCTCAGGTGAAGACTTTTCTACTTCTACAAGATGGAATTGCCATAATCTCAAATAAATCTTAACTTTAGTTATAATTTTAGTTGACTTCCAGATAAACTCTTCTAATTCGGATGCACTATTTGTGGAGGTTACGCAGTTGTCAATATAGAAGAACTTCAGGAGTTTGTCAGTAATAGCTTTGAGTTCTTCTGGATACTTATTCAAGTGGTACCTTATAACCACGCTGTGCAAAAATGGGCTATGAGTAGCTCCAAATACCGCTCTATTATGCTGATAGACATTAATTTTATGTGCCGTTTCCCACCATAAAAATCTCAAAAATCGGAGACTTCTTAACTTCAATTCGGAGGAAGGCTCTTCTAATATCGGATACAGCTGTAATAGCGTTTTAATCTCAATAATATAACAGGAATTTTTTCTAACAAGCTTGGTCCTTTGAAGAGATAGTCATTTAGGGATGGTGCTCCAACTTTGCACGAGGCATCAAAAGCTGGTCTGATAGAGGTGGTGGCACTCTTTGGCTTAATAACTGGATGATGGCACAAGTAATTGGCCTACTACTTCTTCTAATTCTTTTTTTGAGACTTCATTCTCTTTCTGCTACATTTTAAAGACTAGGTCATAATCTTCAAATTTATTTAATTTCTCCAGACTTCTGGTAGTGCTAAAGAATCTTCTTTCTGCTTCATTTCCATTTGAGGGAATGTTTGGGTTAATGCAAGTCCATGGAAAACCAACACGGTAACTCCTGTCTTCACTTCTTGCAAGTTCTTTAAGGAACAAGTCATGGGTTAGATCTTTTCCGTCCTTCTCAGACAACGCTTGCGCAGGATTATTAATTCCTATTGTTTCTAGTCGCCACAAATCTGGAACGTTCAGTTCTCTCAGAGGTAAATTAGTCTTCAACGTAACTGTATCACTGCTCACGTAACATTGGGATGGATGCTGTAACTCACCGCAAACTGTCCATCCAAATTTTGTCTGAATTGCCTTTGATCATTGTTTAGTTGCTTAATTCGACCGGCGTTAGGCGTTGGCCATAAGCGTCGCTGCCAATTAAAATTTCTATTTCTGGACTCCCAGTACCAATATATATAATATCCAAAATTTATTTTTCTTAAGCTCTTCGAGAACAGACTCCTAATGCCAGGAATTTTCCCACATATCTTTTCTTGGTCAAGGAATTTGGATGTGAGGACTGATTTGTGACCATTACCTAGTGCACCTAATTTAATTTTATATTTATTATGAGGTTTAGCGTGTATATGTGCACCTTCAAATACCGTGTGGGTAATAGTTGCTGTAGCACGGGGCTCAGGACCAAGTTCTTTCGCGGAGAGCTACAAAATATAATTCCTTTGTTACCCATTGTCCAATGAGGCCCTAACCTTCTTAATTTTCTCATTAAATTTAATTAGTACCAATCAGTAAGAAGAATCTGTGCGTTCCTGAAGTATGATATCTCGAACCAATGAAGCAATCTCCGGTGGCAAATGAGTGACGCAATAGTTAAATTACGTTTTCGGATCCGTAACAGGCTTGGGTGCGGCTAAAGCAAATATTGATTGGCACATAGTAAACCACAATGGCGGGTCAATAGGATTGTAAATTGGTATCTTCACGGTTGCTGTTTCCTCCATAGAAGTGGCTGTGGGGAAGAACACGAAAGTCTTGGAACCAAGCTCCTGAAGCTTTATGCGTGTAGACGGGTCGCGAATTTATAGTGAGTGGGTTAGGGTTTGGTAAATGTTCTTAGAAGACATGACTCCATATTGCTAAAACACAATTTTATTAACACACCAATTCATTAACCCAACTATACATTAACGCAACTATTTATTAAAACAGAAAACATCTACACAAATATTCGAACATCCTTACACTCTAGCTAAGGGCAATGGGGCGAGTTCGCTGGACGCGCTGGCAGTTATTACGAAAACGACATGACGCCATCTGGCGGGGCACGCAATCGAACATAAGACTAACACAAATTCATCAGAATATTTCTCATTTTCATCCGTCACTTTCGCAATGAAGGACACATCACATTTATCAAGTAACAAGTATATTATACTCTTATCTAAAACTTTAATCTACTCATGACCCTTTCAATTTTAGCATACATGCAGAAATTTCACCTTTATCGGAAGAATGCTTTTCTAGTTTCGATTTCAGAATATTACATGTTTTTGTAAACGATGCACGTAAAGGAGGACATTTTTTAAAAAATTTATCCATGTTTTATAGTCACACAGTTTTAATACACTATGACTAACTATAACTGAAACTAAGCAAAACAAATTTATTTCGATACCATAAGAACACTCAACATGTTAAATTCAATAACATTCTTTCACAAAATTTAAAATACACATTTTATACAATAACATAAAACTTCTAATATATCTTTAAGTTAAAAATTCCTTAAAATTAAGTCCTATTCAACTTAAATATTAGCATACTTTAATTAAACATGCCAAGACTTGTATGTCTTTTTATTTGCTTTGGAAACATGATGTATCCTGAATAGGAACAGGGAAATTACTCAAGCTATGTTCACGCTTGCAGCTAAAGAAGATTCTATTTAAATTTTGAAACAATGCTTCAGTAAATTTGCCTAAATTAACTGATTCTTGCTGCTTTAGTACCTTTTGTTCTTCGACGTGTTATTTTTTTATAATCTTTACTAAAGGATACTAAAACTTTTAAAGGCTAATGTGATAATAGCTGCTTTTGCTAAATATTTTTAAAACCAATCTTAATATATGTATATAAACAAGCTTAATACATGCTGTATTAAGCTTGTATTTTGCTTACAAGTACGAGCTAGTACTTGTATTTTACTTCTGTTTTGTATTTAACTCTTATAATGTGCATGCATATAATTAATAGGTAAAAGCTACTAAGCTTGCATTTTGAAATTTTTCCGTTTTAAAGTATTATTTATATACATACTTTATTTTTTTACTTTCAGGCTCTGAAAAATGGAATGATACCCGAATTATGTTCTCCTATATATGCAGAAACATCTTATAAACAGAAAAGAAATGATGGAAACTTTTGAATTGTTTTCAAATTTTCCCATTATCTGACTTTATCTAAAATATCATAATAAAATTTGTAAATTTATCTAAAATATGTTTGGAGAGAGTCACTAAATATTATTTTTTACTTTATTACGTTTTATATCACTTCTGTGCATAATTATTTACTATGAATAATTTTATATATATGTGGGTGTCTTTCTACTTTACTTTAAGAATGACACCAATGTTAAGATTTAGTATTTTAATGGAAAAAAAAAAGAAACATAGAAAGATGAAAAGAAGTAAGATAAAAATTTAGCTCCATAGCATAGGGTGGCATCACGATAGTGGTAATCCTCACACCAAATGGGAATGTTTCAAAGTCTCTAGGTAATACGTAAGAGATTTTAGGATCGCGCAGAAGTGGAGAAGTCAACTTATCACACGGCTTCGAGAATCATCTAGCTGTTGATGCGGTTGCCAGGTGCAGGAAGGAGAAAGGTGCTACTGATAAATATTGCAATAACATTTTTATAGACACACCAGAGGACACTGACACCAGTGAAACTCACATTTAACTAAAAATTGTTATTACTGATGAAGGAGCTTGGAAACACAATCTTCGTGCTTCTCAGCTTAATTTAACTTCTAAAAGTTACTTTATTAATGCAATAGCATAATTTATAGGAGCTAATTACAAATACAGTTCTAATGATTTTGGTTTGGAATGAACTCTATAAAAAATGTTTTACACGTTCCATAAATAAATTCTTTTCTCAAATGGGTTTATAATGAGATATTTCGCAAAGATATCTTAAGAAAAATTAAACTGGTGCATGGTCTTCCATACATTTCACTTTAAGAACAATTAAAAAAACTTTCAGATTTAGTATGGCATTGCACATAAAATATTTCCTGAATTTTAGGTTATGATTTGAGTGTGGTAATTTTATTTTGGGTCCAACAAATTACATTCTGTGAAATTATTTCGTTTCGAATTAACCTGCGCCAAAGAAACAGAAACTGAGCTAATTTAGAAAGATTTTTCTTACGAAACATGATCCTTAGTGTTTCTTAAGTCGTTTATCAGAGAACTGAAAATGAGAAAAGATTTAATATTTTTACGCTTTTGCTGGCGCATTTTCGTACAGTAACATATAAGCTATAGCAGAAATATTTTATATGGACACTTTTAATGTGTAATATAATTTACATTACTAATAGTTTTGAGTACTGAAGCGAAGAGTGCTAACTATTGCCCTTTATTCCTTTTTACATTTCTCATATATTACAAAATTTTAGCTATCTAGTCATATAAAATGTACCAAATCCGTAAGAATTAATACTGCTACGAAATCTCCAGGCGCGGTAAGATAGCTTCCCCTCAAAGCAGGTTTAAGGTTGCCAGAAAATGACATGGGTAGGTAGGGTTGCCCCATTTGACGATGGTTGGCGACAAAATTGACGATAACGGATTGCCATAAACGGATGGAGAACCTTCTGGAAGAATTCTTACTGGTTTAGCCCAGAATGTTCTCGAACGCAAGCCAAAAGCTATATAAACCTGCTGAAAAATTATTTAGTACTAGAGCGAAATATGTTTCAGTAGATTACATTTAGAATTCAATTTGAAAGTCTCTAAAATATTAAATTTGTAATGTTCTTGAGATGCCAGCCATCCAGAAGAAACATGAGAAATTCTTGCAGTCTTGTGAAAGATCTCCCATAAAAGATATGTGTTTCTATGAATATAAAATTGTTTCTGGTACATAGTTATAAAATTCTATTAAAATTAATACTTAAGTATATTATATCAAAAATAATTTTTCTTATTGCAGATTAGAGTAATAATTAAGTCTCGAACCAAATGAAAAAATACAGTACAATAATAAACTTGATTAAAATGGGCAGGTACTTACAAAGCGAATCAGCGTAACTATTTGCTGATGGCTGAAGGATGTTTAACTACAACTGGACCCAATATATCCGTTCCTTGTATAAGGTAACTGACCTATTAGCAATGAATATATACTATATAAAAAAATCATCATTTGGTAGTATTTAGTGTTTATAGCAATAAAATTCTTTATAGTACGTACTTGTAATAAAAAACAAATATATAAAATAAGATATAGAGAAAGAGTTAAAATCGACCAATAGCATTCTTTCTGTAGGAGGAGATTAAAAACAACTGAAATGCGTTGAATGTTTTTTAACAGCGAATGGATTCAGCAAGATAGCTTAGCTGAATCGGTAGCCTAGAAGACCACCGGTCGTTTAGAGGCGGGTCTAACGCAATTCGTTATAGCGGAGGAGTTTCTTAAAGTGTCATTTACAGACTATGGAATGAGGTTTAGAAAACAGTGAATCGAGAGAAAAGTGAAAGACCTCTTGCCGAAAAAGCTCGCACTAAATTCGTTCCGTCAACTTGAATTTTTAGAGATTTGCAAAATTGTCAGACACTGAGACCACGTTAGCACCTCAGCTTCTGCTCCATTGCTGTCGAAGAATATTATGAACCTTATTTTTCTTGTTAGTAACAAGTTCCATAATTTCTGAGTGAGGCATCATAAACTCCACTGCATTATCCATAGCAAGAACAAATCAAATTTTAATTAAATTAAATTATAATTATAATTAAATAAAATTCCAATTAAAATTTGACGATCTACAGTAAAACAGCAACCAGTTAATTTTTTTAAATATTTTGCATTTTAGTGTTGACTTTTACCGAATCTGTCAGAGCTCTTACGTCTCCTTTTTTCGTCATGGACTACAATCGAGGCTCACTGTAATGAACCCCGCTTACACGAATTTGCGGAACGGTTTTGGTTTCATCGGGTTTCCTATGCCCATAATGTTATTTTATAATATTAAAGCGAATCTCAAAGAGAATGAAAATTGGAAATAACGAACTATATTTTATATCGCGATTGAAAACTTAACTTCTGCAAGTTTTAACGCAAAAATTGCTAACCCTTAAAATATTTCATGTTCAGCATTTTATTCTTATAGGAAAACACATTTGTCATTTTTTATCTTCCCTTCCCCTACCTTTCGCTATGCTCTGAAGAAAGGCATTGGGAGACAAGTGTGACACAGAACTCTAGGGGAATAAGAATACAATAAGTATATCTTAATACATCATACTGCGTACGTGACTGTTTAACCAAAGACTGTGAATGGCTTCTTTGATTTAATTCAAATATTTTGACTAAGCTGCCAGACAGAACTCTATTGAAGATTGATACAGTGATAGTTATTCAGAAGAAGAGGAAATATTGAATTTTATCAGCTGCGGGTTTACCTATGATTTTTCTTTTTAGGAATGGAAATTTTGATTCTTGTCTTTTTTTTTAATGTAAACGTTCTGCAAGTTCTGTCACTCGAATAGGGGTTTGCCCACCAGCGGCCGAGCAGTTAAGTCGCTGAACTCTGGTAGTTCGGTCCGAGGTTCGAATCCCGCAAACGGGCTGGCTGCATGAGCGGATTCGTGGTTTTTGGATTTCCCCATGTGTAACGTGTATACGAGCCAGTTTCGCTTAGAAGGTCCACGAAGGCGTATCTCCCCTTAGGCAGATAGCCCTAATGTGCTTAAGTAAACCAAACCAAACCAACCCGAATAGGGATTTTGCTCTATTTAGGTCTGTTGCAAAATATAAGATATTCTTCATAAAAGTTGTTGAGTCGTTGATGAGTTATATGCAGCTTAGAAAAATGAACGCCTTCTCACTAGACATTGGCTAAGATACTAAGATGACGAATTTATCTTTCGTTTTCCTCACTTCCGGGAGAGCTTAAACGGTCACATATTCTTCCATCAAATATTTTGTACACACGTTTCGGGTCAAAAGTTCGTCTACATGGTTAGCGGCAAAGTAAATCTTCTACAGAAGATAACATGAACATTTGTAGAAAAATACAAAATGGATGCACCAATACTTGATATAAATGCAGTTTATCCAAAATTGCAAAAATAGGGACTATACTTGCTCATGGAAAAAATTTTGGATACAAACAAAAGCTAAAAAGCACGGGGGATATCGAAGAGGCATTGCTGAAATGACTCGCCGTTCAAAATGCTTCAGGCAAGAAACAGTGAATTTTCCAGAGCATTTCCAAAAGCTTGGGAAATATTGGGCTGTAAATTTAAGAAATCTGCGTAGAAAGAATTGCAAATGAAGTATAATAGGATTTTTTAAAAATTAGATTCACTGTACATTTTTGTGGTACATGTCACAGTATTAATCAGCCTTTTTTGTTTTGTTGAACATTCAAGTTTTTCCCACTTGGGATCGAATCTGATAATAGCGAATCAAACTTCCGATCCCTTGAAGTGCATTACAGCCGTTTTTTCCCACTTGGGATCGAATCTGATAATAGCTAATCAAACTTCCGATCCCTTGAAGTGCATTACAGCAGTATTCGACTTTATAACAGGAGTGGCAGATTTCGGAATAGTAGAAGCCGCATGTTACGAGTTATGATAAGAGCCGCAACTACATTTTCTAAGTATCAGAATTTTTTATTCATTTCATTTTAAAACGGATGGAACAGATTTTCATAAAAAAGAAATATTTGAACTAAATTAATGAGAATTTCGTTTTTTCTGTAAAATAAATGTGCTTGCATATTAATGAAAATAAGAACGTTTAGTTCTCCTGCTGTATATTGAGGAAAATTAGTTTCTACGACACACAAATTTTAATGTATTGTACAGGTGACAGGTGAGAGCAGGGTCCGGACACCCGGGCGGCTTTCACTGACTATTCGGGTATCGTCTGAATACCGCAACTGTCCAGAAAAAGAATATTGCAAACAGGGACAAATGGAGGAAAACAGGGATATTGCGGATTTCTACAATAACAGTGCTTATTATACAATAAAAATATACTTGCATCAGAAAGTGCTGTTACTATGTTGAATTACCACAATAGTAGTACATCGTATTACATTATACAGTGCACTATTATAATAGTCGATGCATGGACGATAAATTAATACGTGTAATAATAAAATTTTCTGAACTCTACAGACATTGCAGAGCGGTATGCCAAAATATATTATACAATACCTATAGCTATATATATTATACATTAATATTACATGCAT